ATAATAATAAGATAGGAATTACTATAAGGAATATATATAGTAACGTATAGTCTATTATAATAGTAATATATTAGGATTATATAATAACGAACTCTAGGCTACTGTGAGAATGCACGTCTAGGACAGTACAGGTTGATAGATTAAATTGACTACGAGGAGCGAAAGAGGTCCCAGGACCTGAAGCTATTTGAAGTTGAGCTCGTCGCCTCGTGGCTCACGTGACGAAAACCACATTCACTATACACAAATCAAAATCGTCACATAAGGTCCTCCCTTAATCCCCTGGATGCCAGTCTGTATCTCTCAAATCATTCCCCTCACCACTACTAGTAGTAGTGCTTTATGGGTCTTCTTCGGAGTCTCCTGTCTCTTCTAGCCCACGAATTTCCTGTTCTTTTGCCACTAAACGCTCCCTTCTACTCGGTTTCAACTTCCGAGGGAAGTCTTTCTCGAACTTTTTAATACTCCCGGAAGCCTTTATTATGTTAACTAGTGGTTCCCACGTCTCTTCGTCGTAACCCCTCCAACGGATCAGGTATTCAAAGCCGCGGGTCTTTGTGCGACGGCTGTCACAGATCTTGTCGATCAGATATTCTGGTTGGCCAGAAGCATCCACTGAAATAGGTGGTAGCGGGGGGTTCTTTTGTCCTGGTAAAGGCTTGCCAGGTGCTGGTTTCAGGCGATTGGTGTGGAATACTGGGTGGATACCGCTAAGCTCGTACGGGAGCTGTAACTCGTAGGCGTGGGAGTTGACGATTCTAGTAACTCGATAAGGTCCGATATACTTCTGATCAAACTTTGGGATAGGTTTTGCTGAGGTGATATTCTTTGTTCTTAGTAAAACCATGTCCCCAACTCTATAGGCCGGAGCAGGGCGTCGGTTAGCGTTTGCAAACTCTTCCATCTTATCTTGGGCAACACTGAGATTAGCTCGCAACATGGACAGGATATCGTCCATCTTTTGAGTAAACTCCAGTGCTTCGTTGTACCGCAATCGTAGGTGCTGAGGAGAATCCCTAGGGATAGAACGTGGTGAGCCGAAAGACATTCGAGGGTGATAACCGTGGTTTGCAAAGAAGGGTGACATGCCTGTAGAAGAGCTAGCTGCGTTACGCATTGCAAACTCTGCCATTGGCAGGAGCTTCTTCCAGTTGGTTTGGGCGTAATCGACGTATTGGCGGAGGAATTGGTTAAGCCACTT